GAACACCTGTTTGTGAGCAGTTGTGAACATGCGTGTATATACAAGATTTCTCCAATAGTGACTGTGGAGGGCCGAGACCCAACCCCCAAGACACGAGGCAGACATAAAAAAACATGTTTTTGAACTAAAATTAAACTTATTCGCCACTTTTTTTGACAAATCTTTCCTATAAACCTTCTATTTTGTTTTTTGGAGTAGTGCTTTAATTTGAGGTGAACAAACAGTCTCATTTGTGAACTCAGCAGCTGGATAGTCCAGCTGTGTAAACAGTCCCATCAGTGTCGCTGATGCAGAAGGATGTGCACGTTGGATTTAATTACAACTCATCACGTGGCGCAGTGTAGCCATAAACAACGTGTTTAGTGATGAACACKTTCTACTGATGTCACTTCATTGAGACTGAAAGAATAAATCAGATATGATGGCATGAAGATAAGACGGTTCCCAAAGTGTGTTTTATCATCAGGACGTGTAACGTGAGCCTGCTGTTGTGCATAACAAGTTCAAATTACAACCATGTGATGAATGTACTGGGAGAAGGAACGTCCAATAAACACATAAACTCATTCAATCTCTCTTTATTGGGGTTTTTAACTGCAGTGAACAGATAAGAGTGTTTCAGAAATCTATCAGTTTACCCATAATGTCATACCTCCCAACCTGCTTTGGATTAGTTTCAAAAGACGAACAAAGATCCCTGAAGGCTATCTTCATTTCAACAAAGTCAAAGCTCAACATTACCATCAAGGTTGAAGTTGCAGTTTGTAGAAATTAGGAAACATTAAATGCAGCAGCGTAGACGGAGTAAAAAGCACATCCAAAATGCCTTGATCAATTTGSTTCAATATTTTTTTCTAACTTTTCCACAAATTTGAGCTCAAAACTGTTTGATGACGAATAGTCTGTTAGAAACTGGGTTTGCAGGCTGAAGGAATGATCGTTTTGCAGAAAAAAAAGAGTGAATTATCACAAATGTTAATTCTATTCTAAATTCACATTGCAGGAGTGCCCTGTTAAATAGTTTAGTCAATTTAAAGCTATTTTAAAGCTATTTCTGTGGAATGCTTATGAACAATAAATGTCTTACCTGTTGTACCTCTTTGGATGACCTCAGTTTGAAGAAATAGCATTTAAATGACAGAAACGTTGCGCTAATGGCTTCTTGAATCAGTTTAGTCAATTTTATTTTTAGGACTTATCTTTTTTCCAGTGTCATAAATTTGTTGTTTTGCAGACCCCACATATT